TTTCTATTTTCCTACCTTTACACTATATTAATTTTATCTCATAAATTGTCCCCTGTTCTGTCACCCATGAAATAAAAATAATTGTTGGTACGGAAAATAAAGATCTACATACCTCAAATCGTCTTTAATACACATATACCTACCTTTAAGTACAACTTAAAGTTTCATGGCTTCCCAATTCGTCAGGCACGCATGGCGACTGAACTGCTTATAAGCGTTCAATCGCCATATTTGCCTGGCGAATCGGGAAACCATGAAACTTAAAGTTTCACAAATGCATTTATATATGTATTTATTAATATATACACACACACACACACACACACACACACACACACACACACACACATATATATATATATATATATATATATATATATATATATATATGAGTTTGGGGCGTTTGGAGAGGTTGTGGCAAACTATGTGCTCCAGTGGACTGTATTCGGTTCTTCCGGAAAGCGCGACTGATTCTGCACACACAAGCCTTCACCACCATAATCGAATAAACTGTGGCTGTTCAGTTCTAGGGACCGACCTTCTCGATCCTAATACGTTGAGTTCGTCATATATATCAGTGTATGTGTGTTAAGGCTCTCAGTTCAGTTCTTATAGCCAGATGAACTCGACATATGATAGGTTTCTAGTGACGAATGCGTGAACCGAACCAGTTACACCTTTTTGGAAGAACTACCGCAGAGAACTGGTGCACATTGTGCCATTAGTCTCCAAAAATATTAATTCCTTTCCCAAGAGTATTTCAGCGAAAGTAAATGTAATGAACTCGACCGGAATTCGAACTCAGCTCGCCGATTTCTCGTTCCATGCCAGTAGCCATTGTATTCACATATATATTTAATCATTTCAACCAAAGCAAGGTGATAATGCCACTAAGACGCAAAAGAAAATGAGAAAACTTTAGTGAGAGGAAAGGACAATAAAAGAATAGGATACAGAAAGACAGATGATGGCGACTGATCTTGCATTTAAATTTTTGAAGATCGTAGTTTAGAGGAAAGAAATAAGGCGAAAGAGAGTTCCACTGAAGAGAATTATATCTAGGTATTTCAACAATAAAATGATGAGTTACCAATTTAGTACTACATTTAAATTCATGAATTCAAGGTACAATAGATGAGATCTCACTAGAACAATTACCTTGAAAATATGGAAAATACACAGCATCTATGTTATGAGAAATTGTTTGAAGCTGAGATACCTAATCAAGACCGATAAATTTACAGATTCTGTGGATTTTATCAAGAATCTCGAGATATATAGCAAGATCACCAGATGTATCAGCAATATTCAAAGCAAGGACGAATGGTAGACATAAATATGTAGGATAGAGTCTGGCAAGAAAACTGTCTAATACGACACAGTGTGCCAACCATCTTAGCAACAGACGTAACAATAGATTCAGTATAATCATTCCATTTCATGTCAGCGGAATATGTGATCTCAATAAGCGGCAATAAGATGATCTCCTGGAGGTTGGCATCAGCCATTCTGATGGAAGGCAAAATGGGTTCTTTGACTAAAAATTAAAAAAAAACATTTCTCGTTTCCTTTAACAACAGACTGAATATAGACATCGAAGGCATGTATATGCAACGTACAACGTTCTAAAGATAAAGAGGAATTTAGCCTGGAACAGAGAATTCAGACACAGAAAGAGAAGGCTTGGTTTTGCATAGCGGTAAAAATGTCTGGACAGCGCTTCAAAAGAAAAGACTCTACACTCCAAGCAAAGGCGATAATGCCACTAAGCCGCAAGGGGCTACTAGGGGTGAAAGGGTATGAGAAGACTTTTGGGAGGAACCGGAAACGCAATATTAAACCAAGGATAAACCTCTATTTCTATTCAAAAGACCGTGCAGGAGTGTGAACCTATTTAACCCTATTTACAGGACAGCATTTGGTACGAATAACACAAATATTGGAGAAAGAAGATTTGAGAGGCTTAGATGACTTTTGGCCATCTAGGTGACTTTTAGGAGGAAAAAGGTCAAGAATAACTGTTACTAACTTCTAAGGCAATACAAACTGACAGGAACGTGGCAAAGACAATAGGAGAGTGTAGCGTCAGGGTTGTCTAATGGAAGAACTTGCAGAGACACTTCAAACTTAAAAAAAAATACCCTCGCAACACCCGGTCATGATCTTTTCCTCCTTATTCCTTCTCGGGATCAGAGATGCACAATACGTCACCCTCTTGGGAACATGTTCAAATGGTTAAGGGCAAGAAATTAACAAGTAAATCCTTGGTACAGAACGGGATATTTACTGTTAAAAAACAGCTGTAAAACTTTCAGATAGAGTAATTCATTAAAAGAAAAATGTAAATAAACACAAAAGAAATACTGATCTTAACCGGCGCGTTTCGTCCTCTGAGAGGCATTTGCCTTGATAATGTCCTTCAGGGGATGAAACGCGTCGACTAAGATAAGTTTTCCTTTTGTCTTTATTCATGATAATAGCTTCAATAAATTAAGATCCGAGACCAGGAGAGTTATGTCTGCTAGTTATTATTATTATTATTATTATTTTTATTATTATTATTATTATTAAGACGTTTCTAGATGGAGTCACAATAATACAGCCATTTTGAACTCCACAATTCAGAGTTATCTTTCTTGTAGACTAATTGACAACCATGGATATAGGCCCTAGTCTGTCATGCGATTTACCCATAGCTGGGGAAAAATAGGTTATTTGCGCGTAAGTGAATGTAACAAAATAGATTGGAATTCGAACACGCCTGTCCGATTTCTAATTTCGAGTTGCTATCCATCATTCGACCAGTACATCCGTGCTTACAGCAGCCCAGGCAACTAAGTACTGACCGCGTTTAACTTCGGTGATCAGCGTTTCAACGTGATATGACCGTAAGCCATAGAAAAGGAAAAAAAATGTTCGCTTTATATGGCTGGAAATGCAGGATATGATATGTCCTTTTATGACTTTCGGAACACGTCGTATTTTGAATTCCAGGATTTAAATATTAAATATATATATATATATATATATATATATATATATATATATATATATATATATATATATATATGAGGTCTATCATGCATATAGTATTACATCATAAAAAGCCCAATTACGTAAAATCGTTTAACAATGTATATTGAAACTCATTTTACTCACTGTGATTCCGCCATTTCTAATCGTTTTGTTCTCTTCTGTATCTATCTCTTATTTTCTCTCTCTCTCTAAATATATACGTAGGGGAGGGGGTAAGAGAGAGAGAGAGAGTGAGTCTATACGCAGAATTTACGCATACTTGCAAACACATATACGTTTGTGTACATATACTTATCAATATCTATATATATATATATATATATATATATATATATATATATATATATATATATATAAATTTAATATGTATGTTTATATAATCTTATTGACGCTAATGTATACAACTCCCATCCAACAATACACTGTATATATATATATATATATATATATATATATATATATATAAATTTAATATGTATGTTTATATAATCTTATTAACATCAATATATACACTCCCTTTCAAGATATACATTGCATATATATATATATATATATATATGTGTGTGTGTGTGTGTGTGTGTGTGTGTGTGTGTGTGTGTGTGAAGATTAATGATAATCGAGCAATCAGTTTTTCAAAAACACCGTAGTATTTATTTGTCTTTTAATCATCATAAACACACACATATTCAATTGTGTATGTGTTGCGTGTGTGTTGTGTTGTGTGTGTGTGTGTGTTGTGTGTGTGTGTGTGTGTGTGTGTGTGTAATAGGTCTGCGTGCTTGAAAGAAGGCGATGTTGGTGGGATGTTAATGTCTACCCAAGCGTTATTTACTGTCCACGTATAATTGAGTTCTCTCCATCTCCTTGCCACCATCACCCAACGCCGTTTTTGGTCGCCCACGTTTCTCGTTGCCCAGTCTTATTGCATTTACTGATAAGCGACACTGGGCACGCGAGCTCGAATACATAATTGTTTCGTGGATGAAATCTTGTTGGTGCGCCTCTACGGCACTCATTCGTACGTGTCTTCCTAAATAGGATACAGGTTAAAATAGACGCTATCACTACGTTTAAATATCTTTATTAACGAAGGCCAAGTATTTCTAATACGGTGCGCCTTCCTATGCGAGTATATTTGTATGTTGTTTCTTTTTTTTGCTTCTTTAAAATGTCCGTTTTAAAATAAGATGCCGTGTAAACGACTTTTCATCAGAGCTTTATTTATGAAATAAAGTATGGACGCGTGTATAGGGAGTGAGAGCGGAGAAGAAAAAAAACAGTTATTAGTTTGTTGACAACTATCAAACCTGATTGGGTAAGGGGGGAAGCGTTTCTGAGCGCATGCGTGCGCCGCCATCTTTTAATGTTATGTATCACATTTATTTGACGGTGCAAGTGGTTGTAAATAAATGTTTCTTTGTGTCAGTTCGGTCGATGGTGGGGGGAAAGCGTGCACATTTCTGTGAAAGGGGGGCAGGGGGAAAAGGTTTTTTTTATTAATGTATGAGTATGTGTTTATAGATTTCTGTGCTCCAAAAAAATACAATAAAAAACAAAGAAAATACAGATAGAGCGAGAGAGAGAGAGAGAGTGAGGATATAATTTAGAAGGAGGTATGGAACCATTAACAAACGTAAACGAATGAATGGGAAAATATGGTGAAAATGGCTGAAGAACGATAGAAAGGATATTAAGACAAAAGAAAAGGGGAAGTGAAGAGGGAAGAGGGGGAAGAAATGTTTTGAATAGAATAGAAAGTGGAGGCATGAATAACGCGTTTGGTTGAATAAAGAAGAAATGAAATAAGCATTACGAAAAAAAAAGAAGTGAATTAAAAAAGATACAAAGTGAAGTAGGTAGTGTACAAAATTAGAAAGGAAAACAGTAAAAAAAGAAAATAAATATCTAGAAAGACTAATTGATATTCAGTTAAAGAATAGAAAAAAAGAAAGAATGATTTATATTCAAAGAAAGGAAGAAACAAACAAAGATTTATATTGAAAGAAAGAAAGATTTATATTCAAAGAAAGAAAAGAAGGAAGGAAGAAAGAAAGAAAGAAAGAAAGAAAAGCTTTAGATGGTAAGAAAGAAAGAAAGAAAGAAAGAAAGAAAGAAAGAAAGAAGGAAAGAATTCTATTCAAAGGAAAAAAGAAAGAAAGACAAAGAAAGATTTATATTCAAAGAAACACACACAAAGAAAGAAAGAAAGAAAAACTTTAGATTGCAAGGAACAAAGAAAGAAAGAAAAAAAAAGAAAGAAAGAAAAAAGAAAGAAAGAAAGAGAGAGAGAAAGAACAATCTATTGAGAAAAACATTATGAATATTACAAGAAGAAATGAACTGCTATGATTTAGAAGGAAAATATTATTCCAGGAACGAATAAAGAAAGAAAGAACAAACGAAAGAAAGATTTATATTCAACGAAAGGAATCTATAGCAAATAATGATAGGATGAATGAAAAGAAAGGGAAAAAAAACGAGCAAGTAAAAATACAAAGAAATAAAAAAAAAGAAAGGAGAGGAAATTCAGAGTAAAAGAAAAAAGAAACCGATAAAAATGGCAGAATTGTAAGTCAGAAAAACTGAAGCAAAGAATATGATAGATTTTGAAAGAGACAGACAAAAATGGAAAGAAACATGTTGTTTGGATCCAGGAAAACACACACACACATAAATGCCGAAAGGAATAAAAATATAAATAAATAAAAAACAACAGGGATAAAACTATAAAATTGCAGCTATCATGAATTGATGCCTGCTTGATTATTGAAAGCATTTAAGTGCATCAGAATTAGGCAATTTCATTGGCCATTAGCCTTCAATGTGTGAGCGCAATTTCGTCGTAACCTGAGACAACAAATATATATATATATATATATATGTGTGTGTGTGTGTGTGTGTGTGTGTGTGTGTGTGCGTGTGTATTTAAATCCGAACAAACATACAAATTAGCGGATTTGTGATTCTTCGGCGTCTGTAACATTACTACGCGTGCGTCATTAGTTTAAACATGTAAAGCGTGTAAAAATCTTATACTTGCATTCAGCTGCAACTCTTGGCAACTCTTGTGCATGTGCATAAATATATGGGGACGTTAACGCGCATGTAATTGTTTGCCTACAAGAACAGACATACATTTTGTTGCAGGGTCTAATTCTACAAAATACGCTCACAATATACATCATTTAATATAAATTTAAAATTGGATTAATGTCAATATTAATGTTTTTTTTTGGGGGGGTTGTTAACATATTAAAAATAAATAATAAATAAATGTTTTCTGGTAATGAATTCAATACATTTATTTTACTTTGACGCCCCGAACAGAGTATTTGCTAAACTTGAAGTCGGAAGATAAGTCATTTTATCTATCTTTTATCAGTCTGTCTCTAGAACGCTCTCTTTTCTTTCCTTTTTCTTTCTCTCTTTTATATATATATATATATATATATATATATATATATATATATATATATATATATATAGTTGCACATAGATATTTCTTAATTGTGCATTTTTAACATGCTATTTCTTATCTGTATATCTTAATGACGTTAAAATAAATGCGTCCATTCACACAACCATATATATATATATATATATATATATATATATATATATGTGTGTGTGTGTGTGTGTATGTGTGTGTGTATTTTTTATTTAAGATTTTTTTTAAAAAAGCTTTTTCGTTCCCATCTTAGTTCAAAATTAACATTTCATTCTTCATATAAACCTAATTTAATGTCATAAGGTTAATATCGTTGTTTAATTTTAGAAAACTCTTCCCTTTAAGACTTATAGCTTCAACCCTCCCCTGACTTGTGTCTTGTGCCTTTCGTCTGACTGAAACATTGAAATAGATAAAATCTGTATTAGTTTTTCGACATTTTCATTTTTTATTTTTTGTTTTATTTTATTTTTTTGTAGCGGTCACAGTTAAATTTCTAATTCCGACACGAACTCTGTCTATACCGGGGTTGAATAAGACTGACGAATTTTTCGTCGGTTGAAATAAGCCTTTTCCCCATATGAGGCAATTGTGTATTTTATTGTGTACTAATTATTTGCTCTATAATAATTGAGCTCTTTTCTGTGTATCAGTTTAATGTTCTATATTACTATGATCCAGTAGGATTATATACCAGCGGATTTATAGTTTTATATATATATATATATATATATATATATATATATATATATATATATATAGAGAGAGAGAGAGAGAGAGAGAGAGAGAAAGAGACCTTTACTTACATAGTTTTATCTTTTAATGGAAAGTATATATATATATATATATATATATATATATATATATACTGAAGATGATTTCGGAGGAGATCGAAAGTGCTTGGATTAAGAATAACTATGGTGCCTTTCTTGTTGAATTTCAACTTAATATCAAGAAGTTAATTAGATAATTAGAACATATTAGTGTAAAAATAGATAGACATGTTAAGTCTATATTATTTGATGAAACATGCTTGAATGAAGATAGGCTGCCTCACTATATATATATATATATATATATATATATATATATATATATATATATATATATATATATATTACAATGAATCATTCATACAAAAGTAAACAAAATTTTTAACAAATCACTCGATGAATGATATGATCTTTGTTTTTTAAAAATTATAAACTGTATAAGGTATTTCTTTAATACGCAAGTACTTTCAACTGTACATTCAGTCATCCTCAGGCATGGAAATTATTTTGTTTTTGGTACCTGAGGATGACTGAATGTACAGTTGAAAGTGCTTAAATTTTAAAGAAAGACCTTATACAGTTCATAATTTAAAAAAACAATCATGTAAATAATGTAAGTAATATATATATATATATATATATATATATATATATATGTGTGTGTGTGTGTGTGTGTGTGTGTGTGTGTGTGTGTATACATACATAATACTTACATTATTTACATTATTCGGACTGTTATCTTCATCTTCCTTGTCATATTCACAACGATTCGACTGTTGTACGCTTTGGCCTTCTTCAGGTAATTGGAATTCCGAATCAAACCCTTTATTTTATCCACCCGGGGTAGATTGTTCTAGTTCCACGTGCCATGCATCTTCCGGATGTCTCAGTTATTTTCCTTTAATTTAACTCTCAAGTTTGGTTCATGCTATGGTCTGAATATAGACATATATATATATATATATATATATATATATATATATATATACATATATATATATATGTGTGTGTGTGTGTGTGTGTGTGTGTGTATGTATGTGCGCGTATATATATATATATATATATATATATAGCATGTAAACAAACTGTAATCTTTTGAAATCTAAACATATCCAAAGTAATTATATTATATATATATATATATATATATATATATAAGTATTAATATTTCTGAATCGCGAAACAAGTCCTGCCATGTATATGTGTGTGAGTTTGTTTCTATACTTGTGTATTTGTGTGTTTTTTCTCAATACTAATATTATATATAGTTTCTATTTATACGTTATTTTTATAGATACAATTTATTTAAATAAATACTCTGTTTTTAATTAAACAGTATTAATTAGATTAACCGACTTGAATGTTCGAGAAATCTCGTAGACAATATGCGTTCTCCGAGAGGAATGGAACCTGTATTCCTATAGAAAACTGTCATTTCATCTGACGTACTATACCTTTCAGCTAGTTAAAAGCGTCTAGTTAGCAAAGTCCAAATTATTGTTTTTAAACACACAATCTTCGACGATTTTTCTCGATCTATCATATCTACTCACGAAACGTATCTTAACGTAAACAATGATAACATATAATGAAATGGACTAAGTCCGACAATTATTTAATATATTTTCTTCGTAGATCATAGGCAACCGGACACAAGTTCGGAAACACTGATTAGTGAATTAAAGTTCTTAACATGAGAACCTGTGTTTCTAGTCTCTCCATGGTCTGTTAATCAAGAACTTGGCTCAGTGATAATACCGTTCTATATCCTTGGAAATCACTCTACGGATTGACCCTATATTTTTAGTGTAATTTGACTGAAGAGACTGTTTGGAAGCAGTCGTTGGTTTTGCCAGATCGCTTTGGTTTTTAATCAAGTCAAGAGAATCCGACTCAATAAAATCAGCCAGCAAAACTTGTGAGCTTCTGTCGGACTCTAAAAATGAATAATGAGTTAAATCACTAAGTGACATGAATTGTCCAATCTACAGCAGGTAAAGTTAACGTCATTTTTTCGTTACTTTTGAGATTCTAAATTAAAGAAGAATCTGCAATGTTATGGGTTCTGACCTGGTATCTCATCTTCAGTCACTTCCCCCATCGCCGTAACGAACCTTCCCTGTGTATTTTTACAGCTATTTACATCGTAATTGTGCTAAGCCATTTTCTAGACTTTACGAATTTAAGAACAGCACTAGATTTTCGGTTAGGTCTCATCATTTTACAATTGAAATTGCTAGATATAAGTATATACTAAAAGCTTATTTTCTCGCATTCTTTCGGTTTCTGGCTTTCCAGAAAGGTTGGCTGTTCAAAAATTGAAATGCGATATAACTTGTTTTATTGATCTTTCTCCTTAATAATGTTTTCTTTTTCTCATATTGTTGTAGCATACCTATGGACGATAATAGGTATGTCCCCATTAAGATAAATACAGTAGTAAATACTGTATATTGGCCTGCAGTTGGAGATTCGTCTCCAGCCGTTCAGGTCAAACACTCTGCCTCTGGGCAGAGAGGATCCCCAGACGAGTCTATGTCAAAGGGCAGAGTATCGTCTCGGGAGACAGCTACCCGACCCCGTTTTATACGAGGTCGACGGAGAATTTTTGGACGGGCCTACGGGCTCGGATACCCCAAATTAAATTCGGCTTTGTGCCACATCTGACCTCGTGGGTCGGTTGGTAGATATCCTACAGTTGGAGATTCATTGTGTAATTCACTTGACTCACTTCTAGCAGTTGACTACATCTACGCGCCGCTGGCGAATCTTATATGTGTTGTTCGGGTCCTAAGTATTATCGTTCATTGCCAACTTTTGTGTGATTATTGTATTCAGTAACCTTCCCTAGGTCACAACACATATTCAATCACACTCTGTAACTCCTTACATATTAGTGGTTTTATTACTTTCCTTGGGGTGAAATAATTCAAAAAATGTTTCTAATATCTTGTTTGAACCATTTATTGCCGCAAAAATATTGCCTTGATATCACGCTTACAATCTTTTTGCACAAATGTCCTTGAGAAAGGTATGAATCCATTTCTTCTGCATCCCAAGCAGCAATTGGTTAAATAGCAAGGTAGAATGGGCGCTCTGGCCTAGGATGACCTTTAGTCTTCGAGAATGATTACACTGGTTGCAAAACCGTTGAGAAACGGGTAATCACTATCTTTCTTAAGGATTCGTTTCAATTCAGAGATTATAAATGAAAGGAATCTGTGGAGAACCATGACAGCTTATATTCTGAAAAGACAGGGGATTAAAATGAATACTCATGCGCTTTGAGAGAGAGAAAAAAGTGAGAAATAAATAGACAGAGAGAGAAAAAAAAAGAGCGAGATAGGGGAAGAGATAAAGGAAGGGGGGTTGAGAAATAGGTAAAGAGAAACGGCACAGAAAGAGAAACATAACCACAATTGTTTTAGTGTCTAAGAAAGAAAGAAAGAAAGAAAGAAAGAAAGAAAGAAAGAAAGAAAGAAAAGTATTAGAAAGAAAGAAAGAAAGAAAGAAAGAAAGAAAGAAAGAAAGAAAGAAAGAAAGAAAGAAAGAAATATTAGTATTGGAAAGAAAGAAAGAAAGAAAGCTTAAAGAAAGAAATAAAGAAAGAAACAAAGATTAGTATTAGAAAGAAAGAAAGAAAGATTAGTATTGGAAAAAAAGAAAGAAAGAAAGAAAGAAAGAAAGAAAGAAAGATTAGTATTGGAAAGAAAGAAAGAAAGAAAGAAAGAAAGCTTAAAGAAAGAAAGAAAGAAAAAAGAAAGCTTAAAGAAAGAAAGAAAGAAAGAATGAAAAAAGAAAGCTTAAAGAAAGAAAGAAAGAAAGAATGAAAAAAGAAAGCTTAAAGAAAGAAAGAAAGAAAGAAAGAAAGAAAAAAAACAAAGAACGAGAGAAAGAAAAAGGAAGCAAACAATCTGAAGGCTGGAAAGAAAGACAGAAAAATCAAACAAAAAAAAAAAAAAAAACAAAGAAAAGGCTTACGAAACGAGAAACAAGAACAAAAAATAAATAACATTCACATTTCAGTTAGAAAAATAAGAGGAAAATCAAAATAGATGTTTCTTTGAGATAAAGATAGGATAAGAAACAAAAGTAGAGACGGCAACAGACATTAGAAAAATAAAAATGTTAAGTATCTACTAAGCTGAGGTTACTTCGGCACATTGGCATCAACCAGAATCGAACTCACAGTTCGGTGATATTTTTAAGCATTGTTTCAGGGCGAGATGTTCTAAAAAGATATTTAATATGATTCAGAAAGATTAAATGATAAAAAGAGAAAGAAAATGTAGAGAGACATATTACTGAATAGTCATAAAGTAGGTATTTCTCTTCTTCTTGCTGTTTTACGTGATATTTTTGCGACAATGACGTCATATGCTTTCTGATGGATGATTGGCTCAATTTATTTCTAAACAAATAAATAAAGCCAATCCCATGGACATTTTTGCGATCAATGTTAGAAAGATTTGAGTTTTGGGCCATCCAAAACGTTCTTCGTTTTTTGTTATTTTTTTTGTTTGTTTGTTTTGTTTTGTTTTGTTTTATTTTTTGGTTTTTGGTTTTTGGTTGTCATGAACACGGGAAAAAGGAGAAGACAGTCAACCAACGCTTGGTTTAACAATAATAACTATTCCCATAAATTTGGACAATATTTAGACGCTAACAAATGTGAATAGAATATTATATTGATGCATGCACATACGACTTCCTATATACATTCTAATATATATAATACCTGAGGTGGAGCAACTATATTTTATCAACAGCATCATCTACCGTAAGGAAAGTTGGTTTTCTGTGACACTCCTGAACGTTTTTCTCGCCTGAGTCGATCCTTTAAATTGGCAGATCAACCATTCGTCGTTTGCATTGAATACTGCTGCCATATATGGTCTGGTTCCACTGCTCTTTATCTCGAGGTCCTAGACAAAATGCAGAGAAGGATATGTAATGTGATAGCTCCTAATCTGGCATCTCGTCTACGGTCACTCTCTCACAGACGTGCTGTGGATTCCCTATGTCTTTTCTACAAGTATTTTCATGGCAACTGCTCCGACAAGCTAGTTTATCTGCTCCCCAAACTGCATAAATTTAAGCGTGCTACTAGGTTGGCATCTTCGTCCCACCCTTTCACTGTCGAAACGGTTAAATGTAGCCGTCTCTTCTACTCTAACGCCTTCTTCTCTCGCACTTCCAGACAGTGGAACTCCCTTCCTCTTTCTTGCTTCCCTGATGTAAATGTAATGTCAATCGACATCTCCTGATGTCTTGATTCTTATCCCCGTCCTTTTCTATACCCTTTCCTCAAACACTCCTCTTTATTCTTGCTCACAATTTTTGTAACCCCTTGTGCGCTAGTGGCACACCCGCCATGCTTGGGGTGATATGCTTAAAAAAAAAGCAACCAACATAAATTAAAAATCATCTGTGCATATACAGAGTGTCCCATAATGATGGGTAATGATGTCAGTCAGTTAGTTATGCGCTTAGGCGATCATGTATCTTTCGATATATGACTGACGAGTCAGATTTTTTCTGCGGGAGGTTGCCATTTCTTTCTGCAGTAGACCAATTGCCATCCAAGGCTATAGAACCCGGTCTGTCCTGCTATTTATCCATAGATAGAGGGAGAAGAACAGGATTCATACATTTCCCAAGGGTATTAGCACGTAAGTGAATGTAATGGATTCGACTGGAATTCGAACTCGGATCTTCGAGTTCAAATTCTGCGGGCGATGTAATCGATAATGACTCGGAAATCCAGTTGGGTTCGTTATATTCACAGGCGCAAATACCCTTGGGAAAAGTATGAATCCGCATCTTCTTCCCCCAGCTATGTGTTAATTCGTAAGACTAGTATAACTGATATAATGGAATATGCGTACACCTGTGTTCCTCCTCACTGGAATATGATTGGCTGGTGTCCGTCATAAATACCGACGGACGTGTAGGTACGACAGAGTCAAGAGCCTTTGTCTGAGAGCTAAGTCTATAACGACGCCCATTGGTCTACGCCATTGATCTACACTTCTTACCTACGCCTACGACGCGTACCAGTCGATTACTGCTACCGTATTCTACTTGGTTATAGTAGCCAAAACCACTTAGCTACTTCCTTCAAATATATTCCTTTCCGGGTCATATCAGTTACTAAACCATTATTATCTCCAAAAATAAAAAAAATTAAAATAAAATATTTAGATTTCGGTATTAAATAACGCATAGAGGTTGATATGCTGCTAAAAATTAAAATAAAAAAAAAAACAACCAAAAGCAACATAATGATGGAACACATTTTAAATGCAAGTATCTTAGATTATAACTAAAAAAAATGGCATACTAAATATATTTATTACATAACTGATATACAAGAGTTCAACATATTATCTAAGATTTGTATATTACATCTCTAAGATGGTCACCACCAGGAAGAGACTAGGCAGGGGCTAGCTATTTTATTTCAAATTTTCATTGCCCGTCTCATGGAGGATCACCTTTCGGGATGGTGTCTATCGCTTTTCAAAATGCTGTCGGAATTTCCTTTGGGCTTCAACGATGGATCTTTGGCCGGTGAACTATGCTTTCACTACGTATGCAATTTCTTTTGAGTCCACGACATTATATTGGTCCACCGTCAGCAAAAGAGATATCAGATACCTCTTGGAAATAGCAAAATCATAGACAATATGTTGAACTCTTGTATATCAGTTATGTAATAAATATATTTGATACTCTATGTCATTTTTATAATCCAAGATATTTGCATTTAAAATGCCACACCCTGTTTATATCGTTAGACTCGAAAACAACGGATGAAGATTAAGTAAATAACATAAATTTTTACTGAACAATCTGCACACTCTCTCCGTCATTGCACCGTGTCCTTCCTGAATTTGGGCATTCTGTATAACATATGAAATGACGCTACAACCTCAGTTTTTTTATTTTTAAATAGGAGTTTCCTATCTCCAACCTGCATATAAGCCGTACTTATATAAGTAGTTTATCCACCTTTTATTAACTTTCTCCAGGCTGGTTTGAATTCATAATTTCTCTTCTCCTAAACTTGTTACCAACTAAAAATGTACGACAAAGTCTGTCCTGCTATTTATTTACCTGGAGGAAGAAGAGGTGAGTTCATACATTTTCCAAGATCAGTGAATATAAAAAACTCGACTGGAATTTGAAGTCGGCCCTCCACTTTCTCATCCCGATTTGTTATCCATTATACCACGAGCGAGTGGGGTATAATAAATACTTAGTTTTATAATTTTATAACTTTTATAATTTTATTTTTTAATGGATAGCGGCTCGGGTTGAAGAATCGGAGAGCCGAGTTCGAATTCCATTCGAATCCATTACATTCACTTACGTGCTAATACCCTTGGGAAAGGTATGAATCCTCTTCCTCCCTCCAGCTATGGGTAAATAGTAAGACATGGCAATTGGCCTACCGCAGAAAGAAATGGCAACCTACTGCGGGAGAAATCTGCCTCGTCAGTCATGCATCGCGCATGGCACATAAATGACTGAATTTTATAACGAGCAGCTAGAAGTGCTCCGACCATGAGATCCGGGTTCGAATGTCAAGCATGCGTTACGGTTGAGAAGTGCCTGAAAACAGTACTATGTGAGTTAAAAATGGCTACACAAAACTCTCCGAAATCCGTCAGTAGTTGTAGCAGCTTGATGTCATACATAAAGTCATAAGTCATCGTGACCGAGTGTTTGACTGGCATTATTCAAACTGTTGATCATGACAGATCATATACTGTTTCCCAGGAACTGAAACTAAGGTCAGCTCAATATGGCTGCAGTATAAATAAAGGCTTGTTTCTATTGTATGTTGAAGAAACGCAAACTATTCCTGAGCAGTCATCCACAACAGGTTTGTTTTAGTTTATTTGTTTAACGGCATATCAACTCCTTATGGGTCATTTAATCTCGGAATTTTATTTTATTGTGAACATTGGTATCTTTTTTTTAAAAAACTGTATTGCTGGTTTCTTTCCTATTCTTTTACAATGAAAATGTATAGCTGGTAATTTCATATAGGTTTATATTTTCATGTTTTGACTCTAGTCTAGGGGTTGACTGTTTGCCAATAGCTGGGATCCTAACAGGTGCTACCACATCGGGTCAAGATGGACTTGGGAACAAAAGCAGTTAAGAGGGGGTTCAATGCTCCTCAAAACCTTCCGACCAGAGGCCTTGCTGCCGGATGTAGTTTATCGTCATACCCAGGACAATCTGTAACAGGGATTAGTTAACCACACTAATAGACTCTACAGTCTTAGGATACTATCGAGCCCTTCACGTGCACATACACGCACATATTTTGTTGGTTGTTTTTCTTTAGCGTCATATCAACCTCTATGAGTTATGCGATGCTGAAATCTAAATATTTTGTAATCAAAACTGATGTAATGAATATGCATACACCTGGGTTCCCTCTCACAGTAATATGATTGTCTGGTGTCAGCCATAAATACAGACTGATGTGGAGGTACAAGACGACGCGTATTGGACGCCTATTGGCTACGCCTACAGTCTTCGCCTATTGCCTACCACTACGACGAGGACCAGTCCATTACGGTTACCTGCTAGATTGTCCTACTCGGTTACAGTAGTCCACAACCACTTTGCTACTTCGAACAAATATATCCCTTTCCGGGACATATCAAAAACAATGGCAAGTGTACTGAAAATTATGTACCTCAAAACTGAGATTACCCATATAATGAAATAAACGACAAATCAAAGTAAATATGAAATTTTGACTCGATATTTTGAAAGTATAATAAATAGGTAAAACAGATTTTAATAAGAATAAAATAATTATCCACAAAGTGTTTTAATTACTCTCGTGCAAATTTCGTAGTCATTTGTATATAACTTATTAAATTGAGAACTTAAATTTGTTTAAGTATAGTTTAAATAAATTTTGTGATGTCAACGAAAACTCGTTTGACACTTTTGTGATGTCCAGGAATAATTGTTGCCACTTTCGCAATGCTCGTTGTAGTAGAGACTTTGTAATCGCAGATACAACTTATAGTAATGCCGTTGAACAATACTAGTGTCAGACGCCTTCGTATATCACTCGCACTAATAGTACTTGCATGATAATACTTGCTCGAATAGTAACCCGTATAGTGATCTGAATAGAGGAATAGTATAGCGAATAGAGTAGAGAATAATGGTCCGTA